CTTTTTGCTTATGTGGTGCTGAGGAATCGAACCCAGGGCCTCAGGCATGCAAGGCAAGCGCTCTACCACTGAGCCACCTTCCCAGCCCCAGCCTAAACTTTTATACATAGTGAAACTTTAATAAACTTCTTTTGGTATTTAAAAATACCAAATTAAAAAAAATTTTTTTTAAATACCAGTGAGTCAGTCACTTGAATTCTACTCCTTCTCCTTGAGGTTTTACCACCATCTACCTGCACAATTTCCAGAGACTTCCTCTTAATTTTGCCACCTAATGCACTGGGGCAAGGTCTGTGCGTCTATTGTACTCTAACCACAGTGCAGCACAGAGCCCAGTGCTCCCAGTCACCTACCAGGCATCTGCTCTCTCCTCACACACTATGCTCTCTCCTTGTAGATCTCTGATTTCTCTACAATCACCATCACAACACCTCTTTCTATGGACCTGCAGAATTTTGGCTGCACCTGTTTAATAACTCATTAAGAAAAAAAAACTCTTGTTTTTAATATGACTTATACTCATTTAAACTGTTTACCAAGCTGTAGTGTTTTAAGAACATTACTAGAAAAACAAAATAAAATTGGTTAATTATTATTTTTAATATGATGAGCTCACATCAAGATGCTGTCAGGTACTGGGGCTTTTGTTTGTTTGTTTGCTTGTTTGCCAATCCTAGGGCTTGAACTACATGGCCTGGCACCGTCCCTGAGCTTCTTTTGCTCAAGCCTAGCACTCTACCACTTGACCCATGGAGCCACTTCTGGCTTTTTCTCTTTATATGGTACTGAGGAATCAAACCTAGGGCTTCATGCATGCTGAATAAGGACTCTACCACTAAGCCACATCCCCGACCCCATAAAATGCTGTTTTACAAGGCATGAAACTTATTATCTCACTGAGGTGAATACACTGCAACATCACTCCTGTGAAAACTTTGTCTTTGATGAATTAGACATTTACACATTTGGAATGAATGATTGCTTTGGGGACTAGTCTGGTCTCCAGGCTTGGTGCAGGAATTTAGCCAAAACCAATGCATTTCCATATACATACATTTCTTTCTTTCTTTCTTTCTTCCTTCCTCCCTCCCTTCCTTCCTTTCTTCCTTTTTTCCTTTCTTTCTCCCACTCTCTTGCTTAATTTCTTTTCTTCCTTTCTTCTTCCTTCCTTACTTTCCTTCCCCTTCCCCTTCCTTTCCTCCCTCCCTCCCTTCCATCCTTCCCTCCTTCCTTCCTTCTTTCCCTCCTTCCTTCCTTCTTTCCCTCCTTCCTTCCTTCCTCCTTCCTTCCTTCCTTCCGTTTCCTGACATGGGCAAGAAGACAGTTAAGAGCTTCAGAGTACTTGATGTGCTGCCATCTGTTGGTAAAAATGTGAATTGCATCTTGAACAGTTGATTCATCAACTTTTCTTTCACCAAGTTTAAAGAAAATGCAGTGAAGCAGTCACTTGAGTTCTACCCCTTCACCTTGAGGTTCTACCACTATCTGCCTACACAGTTTCCAAAGACTTCCTCTTTTAATCTTGTCACCTAAAGCACTAGGGCAAGGTCTGTGCCTCTATTGTACCCTAACCACAGTGCAGCACAGAGCTCAGTGTTCCCAGTCACCTACCAGGCATCTGCGCTCTCCTCACACACTATGCTCTCTCCTTGTAGATTTCTGATTCCTCTACAACCACCATCATGAAACCTCTTTCTATGGACCTGCAGAATAAAAGAGAGAAGCTGAAGGACCTGGCCCTCCACTTAGTAGAAGACATCCGCCCGGAAATGAAAGAGGACATCTATGACCCCACCTACCAGGATGAGGTGGGCCCCGCACCGAAGCTTGAGTATGTGTGGAGAAACATCATCCTCATGGCTCTGCTGCACCTGGAAGCCCTGTATGGGATCACCCTGGTTCCTGGCTGCAAGGCCTACACCTGGCTCTGGGGTAAGCGGTGCCCTTCATCCTGAGCCCAGGTTTTTCTCTGCTTTTTAATGAGGTGCAGTCCCACACAGGGCAGCGTCCCCTGTCTGGTTTCCCAGCTATTTCTCTTGTTCCTGGGAGGCTGGCTGAGCTGGAATAGAGCCTGATGCAATTGGGATCCACAGAGGACATCATCCCCTCTCAGTCTGGGTTTCCAGCCATTTGTCTTTGTTTCCAGGGAGGCTGACTAGTCTGGGAGTGGAGACTAGTGTGGTCTCTCCAGAAGACAGGAGGATGAACAGTCCAGTGTGAGAGGATTAGTAGGTAGCTGTCGTGGATGGTAGTAATATAGGACTGATCAGCGAGGAGGTGCCACTGCCACCTGAGCCTTTTAGGTATTCTAGGTTGTGGGATCTGATTCCTGGGTTTTGTTTTGGGAAATCCTTCCAGTACCTTGGAGAAATACAACTAAAATATTTGATCCTCGGGAAAACAGTTTTGCTGAGTACCAAGTAGAGGATAACAATATATTTTAGACTATGTTTCTCGGTTACACGGTTTCATCAATGCCACTGAAGGAAGCTTCAACTATAGACCAGGAAAAATTAGCTTGTGTATTGTTCAAGAGTTTTAGAGGGACACTTATGTTCTTTAGCTGGTGTACTATGAGCTGTACCATGTACTATGGGCTTTACCATTATGACTGAAGAGGAAGAATGGGTTTCCTTCTCCGCCCCTTCTTCCCAGGAGATTCTTCACAAACTGGTTCATCAGCTGCAAGCCCCTTGCAGCCATGATACTCCCTGTAGGCCTCACTCTGTTCTTAGGTTGACCAGTCTGTGATTAGCCACCCTGGAAAATGTGCAGGGATCATAATGCCACCCTAGCATTAAGGCTATGATATCTAGCTTCAAGTGTGTTGCTTGTGTGGATCTACTGTGAGTTTGGACAGAAATTGGTACACAGAGGTAAAATGCTGACTTATTCTACTCTATCAGGGCTTTTTGATGAGTGATTAGGTTGACAGAGTGTCTGTGTGAAATGTGGATTTCAAATTTCCTCTATGGTTAAAAAACAAAAGAATTGGGGGAGGATCGGGTGGGGGTGGTGAGGGGAGTATGGGAAGGGGAAACAAAGAGGATGCAACAATGCTTGATAAGAAAGGTACTCGTTATCTCGCCCATGTAATTGTAACTCCTCTGTACAGTATTCTCACATTAAAAAAATTAATTAATTACTTAAAAAAGAATCACAGAGGTCTTAGCTTGGGCATTTTCTCTTCCCACCTCTAGACTTTAGGTGCTTTTCCTGTTTATATTCCAAAGGAAACTGAAAATTTTTAGATTTGGAGATGTCCTCTTATTTTTAGAGCTGTTCAGAAGAGCCCATCAGGCAAGGCTGAGAAATATTTCTGACATCATTGAGAGTCTGAAAGATAAAATCTCTCCAAGCCACTTCTTAGGGCAAATCTACGAGATGTTGCTTAACCATCAGTGTGGCCACTGACAGTCCTTCCTTGGTGATAGAGAATGATTAGAAGTGACTTGAGCTGGGCACATGATAAATAATAAAACATGAGCCTAGTGCCTGGGTTCTTGTTCCAATTCCACTGTTAATGAGCATTGCGTGTTCTTTCAGAACCAATATGTCTGCAACATGAAACAATTGTATGTGATTTCTTGGCTCTGAGCTGAGGATTTCTGATTTTCCTGATCCTAGGACCTTCCTTCCTGATGATTATATGACCCTGACTTTCCCTAATTACCTGTGAAGCATTGTATATGAGAAGATGGTATCAGTCACTACATGGCCTGGCCACATGTCACCTGGGGTCTCAATCTCAGATCTGAAGAATTGTGGCCAGAACTTTGCTAGGATAATACTAATGCTATGGCACTCCTGGGCCCCTTGAAGGACAGGGTAAGATGAAGGAGATAGCAGGAGAAGAGAGAAAGCTATATAGAAATCTCTCCTTGCTTCAGTAGAGCAGGACAACTTATAAAGTTTTTGGTGCCTTCCATGAAGTTCTATAACCATGGACAATCTATTGTTTCAATCTGTTCTCCCAGCATAAGTTATAAATTTTTAACCAAGGCTTCATCCTGTCCTCCTAGTGCTGCTGAACAAAGGGAAGGCCAACTAGAGATCCTGAACTTGCAAGCCATCAGCATGGTAGGGAAGGCAATCCTGAAGCCCTGCAGAATTCCATTCTTGAGTTCTCCATCATCAGAGACAGATAACCTAGCTTGAAACATGGCTTCACTTTTACAATCCCTGTGACCTTAAATAACATAGCTCCCTTCATCTGTTCACTCAACTGTGACATGGAGTACTCATAGTATTTACCCTGTTCAAGCTGTATGGTAAATATGAGAATATTAACAATTTTGATAAAGCTTGAGCCATTATGCAAGTATGACTGTGTGGGGGGCCCCTCAGGGGGCCATAGGGCCTGCTATAATACTGAAATGCTGTTGTGTTGGTTGGCAAACCGAAATGTAAAGCACTTTCAATTGAGCAGTGTCTAAATTACTCTGACTAATACATTTAGTACACCTTTGGAAATGATACTCTGCCTGAACACTTCAGAAAGGTCAGCTGAAGGCCAAAGGAAATAGAAACTTATGCCTATGGTTTGACAATGACAAGTGACTGAGAGCCCTATTCCTTTGCATGTCTTTTTTTTTTTTTTTTTTTTTTGATCCGGTCGTGGAGCCTGAACTCTGGGCCTGGGCACTGTCCCTCAGCTCTTCAGCTCAAGGCTAGCACTCTACCACTTGAGCCACAGCGCCACACCCGGCTTTTTTCTTTTTGCTTATGTGGGGCTGAGGAATCGAACCCAGGGCCTCGAGCATGCAAGGCAAGCGCTCTACCACTGAGCCACCTTCCCAGCCCCTCCTTTGCATGTCTTTATGCCTTCTTAACTCCTGGAACTCCTTAACTTATATCCACTCTTGGAAGGAGGAGGTAAGTGATGAGCACAGATTTTCAAGCAGTGAAAGCTTGGAACCCTAAGACCAAGGCATTCCTAGGGTTCAAGGTAAAGCAGATCTTCTCCTAAAGTCTAAAGAGGCTGGCTCTGGCATCACAGGAGTGCTTTGACATGCCTCCCCTGGCTGTATTCCCATCAGGCGGTGACTCTTTACTGTTCTATCCTGGCAGCTTTTCTGTGCTATGTAGTCAGTATCCTGGGCATCACAGCAGGGGCTCATCGCCTGTGGAGCCACCGGACCTACAAAGCACGGCTGCCTCTGAGGCTCTTCCTCATCATTGCCAACTCCATGGCATTCCAGGTGAGCAGCTGGCAGGGCTCTGCTCTGTGTCTCCATCCTATCAACGATCCAGGATGGAGTGAAGGGGACTGGCACCTGGAAAGGAGTCCCAGCAGGTCAGACATGGCCTTTTCCAGTCTCATCTGGTCACTTCAACTGGAGTCACTGAGAAGGAAGTAGAGAGGAAAGGCTCACCAGGTATATGGTCATTTTCATCCAAGGTCTATGTTTTATGAAACTGCATGGCCATTGTGGCCCTTCAGAATAGAGGACCATAGTATAAGAGCCAGGCCCTGACCTAGGTTTCTGGAGACCTAGGTTTCTGGGTGGACACTAAATGTAAAGATGACTATGTTAGGACTCAAGATGACGGGATTAAAGGTGACATAGCACACAGTCATACTTGCTGATAACTAGGGTCAACATGGCCAGATACTGTTGGCTCTCACCTGTAATCCTGGTTGCTAAATAGACCAACATCTGAGGATCAGATTGATGTCAGCTTGGGCAGGAAATTCTGTGATACTCTTATCTCCAATTAACTACCAAAAACCCAGATGTGGAACTGTGGCCCAAGTAGCAGAGCAAAACAGCACTGAGCAAAAAAGCTAAAGACAGCACCAAGGACCTGACTTCATGCTCCATGACAAGCTCATATGTCCACTCATGTATTCACACACATGTATACACACACACACACACACACACATGAGTGAATACTTGTGCACAATGACTATGTGTAAAAAGCTGATACAGATTAAATCATTAACTCTCTACTGAGGTCCCAGGAAATAGATGGCAGTGTTATGACTACTTTACAGATAACAAAACTGAGTCACTAAAAGATGAGGTTAAACTAGCCTTATAGTGTTAACTAGGGATGCCATGCTGGCCAAATCAAGTACTGGTAGTGGTTCAGGCAGCAAGCTTTTCACAAAAGATTAAGGTAATTAGGGAAGGGGAACTCCCTAGCTATAGTTGTTATGTGAGGCATAACTTAGAGAAGAGAAAAAATGAGCCCAAATTAGTCTCCACTGCCCTGGCAATATCTGAAGAGCTCACTACATATGGCTGATCATCCCTGCCTGCACAACTTCTTCTTGAGGTTCCCAACATCCTCATGAAGCAAAGGGAAGGAAGAGACAGACTGACAAATTTTGGAAGAATAAATAGAGTCTCTAAAAAGACCATAAGGTCTTTGGAAATGTGCTCATGGTCATGACCACATAATTATTGTGTTGGGTACCTATCATGTGGGAAAGCATCAGGATAAAGTTTCTTGAAGATTTATCCAGAGAGCAGCACCTAAGGGTCCATACCATCTGGCTTGTACTCTGTGCTCAGGGATTTCACTCCTAAGAGTACCCTTCTCTTCATCCTAGCCTGATGAAGAATTGTAGTTCTTGGCTAATGAAACTCCTTGGGTGCTGCCACATAACCTTCAGGAAGCATCAGTGCTATTCCAGGGCTTGGGAACTTGACGTTGATTTTTCACACTGGTGTCAGGAGCAAATGCTGAGAAGAAGGCAGGCGTATGCCTGTTTTGGCGTCTAGGTCCTGGGAACTGTGATGCTGAGCTTAGAGCTCTGGACCCTTGCAGACATCTGGGCACTCCAATCCTCCCTAGAGGGCATCTCTCCTAAGGCCTAGTTTTCCTTCTGTCCCATCCAGAATGATGTGTATGAATGGACCCGAGATCACCGTGTGCACCACAAGTTCACAGAGACTCATGCTGATCCTCACAATTCTCGTCGTGGCTTCTTCTTCTGTCATGTGGGTTGGCTGCTTGTGCGCAAACACCCAGCTGTCAGAGAGAAGGGTGGTTTGCTGGATATGTCTGACCTCAAAGCTGAGAAACTGGTGATGTTCCAGAGGAGGTGAGGAAGGGAGGATAGCACTGGGGTGTGGCCTTGGAAATTGGAATTTAGGGAGAATAACTCTCTCTTAGGACATGTAATTTAATACCTGAATAATTTCCTGTTTCCATATTCAAAATTTCAAAATTATAATTTTGACCATTTTTATGGTCTAAAAGCCAAAAGCCATGTTTTATTTTTCTGTTCCTTTCAAAAGCCATGTTTTATTTTTCTGTTTGTTTCTCTCTGAGCTATTTTAATGAAACCAATTAAACACCACTAATTTCACTGAAGCAGGATAGTCAGAGACAGAAAAATGAATGGGGTTGATGTCTTTCATTTGAGTTTTTAGCAGAGTAGAGTAGAGGGATAGGGAAAATACCCCAAATAACCATTATACAAAGCAAAATCATATCTGTACTAGGATGGTACAAATGAAAAGGTGCATGAACAAAGTATGACTGAGCCAACCTACATAGAGAGACCATAATGAATATTGATGAGTAGATAGTTCAAACAGAAAGAAAGCATGATACCTGCTGGTACCTGCAACAGTCTTTCTGCTTAAAGTTTACAGAATGACAGGGAAAGGGACTAAAGGTAGACAGAGATCACTCTGGTAGACTCTGATATAAATTTAGGATTAATTTGATCATCAACAGGGAATCATAAAAGATTTTCCATGTGTCAAAGTCAGATATGCTTTCAAGAGGCTTCTTCAGGACAAGTGAAAGTACCATTCAGACAGAGAGATGAGAAGTGGAAACACAAGATAGATGGTAGGGGGGACTCAAGCCAAGGACACAGTGACAAGATAGGGAAAGAGTTTGATGTAGGAATGTCAGTGACATCAAAACAGAAGATGTGTCTGAGGCACATAGGCAATGTCAATGGCTTTTGTCTATATGCAACTGAAGGAAACAGGGTCTCCTGAAGGAGAGACCAGTTGTGGTCACAGAAACTGAGTGTACTTCCTGAAAGAAAAGCAGAGCAAAGAACTATAAGGGGTGGTAAACAGGAAATGAAGGCATGACATTTGCCATGCTTTCTGCCAGTGACACAGATGAGCAAGGAAAGGTGTCCAGAATTTAGCTGTTGTGACTATGATGTGACCCTGCCTGTTTGACCAACATGACCTGTGGTCTCATGAAAAGAAAGGATGCAATTTGTGTACCAGTGGCTCAGGTCTGTAATCTTAGCTCCTCAGGAGGCTGAGATCAGAGGATACTGGTTCAAAGGCATCCTGGCAGGAAGTCTGTGAAGACTTTTATCTCCAATGACCCTCCAAAAATCTTGAAGTGGAGCTATGGCTCCAGTGGCAGAGTGCTAGTTTTGAACACAAAAGTTCAGGGAAGTGCCCATATCCTGAGTTCAAGCCCTAGGAACAGCACACACAAAAGGAAACAATGCATTTAAAAATCAGAACATGAAGTGGCGGTGTAGCTCAAGTGGTAAAGCGCTCGCCTTGAGCTGAAGAGCTGAGGGACAGCGCCCAGGCCCAGAGTTCAAGCCCCACGGCCGACAAAAAAAAAAAAAAATCAGAACATGATATTCATAGCCCTGTCCTTTGCATTCCTAATGGGAAGATCTTAGAATATTTATTTAGCACATTTATACAGCATTATATAAAACAGTGAAAAGACAACTCTGTCTTCTCAAAAGATGGTCTATCCATTCCCTTTGGCTTGTTTTCCTCTATATTCACAGAGGGAATGCTGGGCCCAGCCCAGAAAGAATGAGTAATCCAGGCTTGTGTGAAAATCCTCTGTCCATACTCTCACTGTGTGGTCTCTCATGTAGGTACTACAAGCCCAGTGTCCTGTTGATGTGCTTCATCCTGCCCACACTAGTGCCCTGGTACTGTTGGGGTGAAACTTTTCAGCACAGCTTGTATGTTGCTGCTTTCCTGCGATATGCTGCAGTGCTCAATATGATCTGGCTAGTGAACAGCGTTGCTCACCTCTATGGATATCGCCCTTATGACAAGAACATTGAGGCCCGTGAAACTGTCTTGATTTCACTGGCAACTCTGGGTAAGTCAGCAGTGTACAACATGACCACATTCAGTATGGAGCCAGCACTATCAGCTAAGTTTGTATATAAGACATTTTGTGACCCTAAAAAAAACTAGTGTTTACTAAATGGGGATATACGTGCAAGTCATGAAACAAGTTTTATGCAAAAAAAAGGGAAAAGCAACACTTCCACTTCCAAATCCATTTCCAAATGGCATGCCTATTGAACTATTCTAAACTATCCTTTCCCCAGTCACCTTTGGTCTGGGCTACAGTCTTGTTTTGGGCAGGTGATACATAATTAGAAAAGTCGGATCAGTACAGAGGCCAATAAGATGAGTATTTTATATTGCCTGATTCTGTAATATAAGCCAGGTTGATACATTTCAAGTTCTTCTGTGAAAGTGTGTGGAATCTCCTTGCTATGATTTCATATGATCCTCTTAGCCCCATCTACCATTGCACATATTCTAACTTTGATTCGTGTTTAAATAAATCACCTAGGCTTGACAGTTCTTACATTAACTTTTTGGGTGGGGAGGGGGAGAGGGTGGCCCTGGCACTGTCCCTGAGCTGCTTCTGCTTAAGGCTATAGTTCTACCACTTGAGTCACAGCACCACTTCCTAACTGTTCTCAGTAGTTTATTGGAGATGAGAGTCTCACGGACTTTTCTGCTGTCATTGAACCATGATCCTCAGATCTCAGCCTCAGAGTAGCTAGGGGTATAGGCATGAGCCAACAGCACCTGGCTTTTTCTTCCATTTTTCTGAACAGAATAATTATACTAAGATATAAGAGCATTCTAAATAATTTAATGACTGTTCCCCAATTTCAGCTGCCTTATGACAGGCCTTTTTAATTGGTTGTCAGTCTTGTATTTGGTTCCTGTTGCCACTGTCTTCTGTATACCTGCTCTTTCCTACATTTTATCCTACCCTGTCTCTCCTCTAGCTCTCTTTCCTGCCATTCTAATTCTTGTGCTTCTTGAATCACTGTTCTCAATCACATTTTCTTCTCTCTGATCATACTGACCTTCTTTTAAGTCCGCATTGACCTGCCTCTTCCTGTCCAGGTTGCCACACATGATCATTCTCCTTTTCAATCTGACACCTAGGCCTGATAAATGCCCACTCAGAACTTGGCTGTGAACACCAGTGTGAAAGTTAGCATTCTCTGTCAGTACACTTAGTTTCAGCCTTATCCCCCAACTCCCCGCCTACTTCTTAGTTGATACTATGGATCACCATTGTACAGAGTAATGTCCTAGCTGGAGGCTTGTTTGGCAGCACTTCATCACTAGCTTGCTATTTAGTTCATTCTCACTCTATATGGGGGCACTTTTGTGGTCATTGTGTACATATATATAAAGGTATGTATTTATTTACTATATTTTAAGAGTGGCTCCTTATGTATCCTAGACTATCCAAGAACTCACAATTCTCTCTAGTGCTGGGATTACAATTGTTATAAAGTCAATCCAGTTGGTGAGCTACTGATACATTTGGAGAAATGGAATTGGGAGTCTTTATTAGAAAGCTAGTGTCTACATGGTGGACTGTTGTCTCAAAGACTAGCATGCCCCCCTCCCTCTTCTGCTGTACAAAGCCTGCACCAAAGTTTTAAAGACAAAAACCACAAGCTTTGGGGCAGACAAAGCCCCAACATAAAGCACAAGAAGCAGCTTCCCAGGGCGAACCAACATGATATCTGCATATCCTCTAACACAGACAGCTCTCTTTGCTGTACCTACTGAGCTAGGCATCTGCCATTCAAAGGATGGCTTGTCTCACCTTCAGGCCTCTGAAGCTGGGTGGACATCCTCCATCTCCTGGTTAGGCAATAGGGTGGCTGGGAGAACAGGGTGACTTACTTAGACGTAGTCTTTACGTTATTTCACAATCATGAGCCATGATGCCTAGATTATATGGAGATATATTGACCCTCAAAAGACATTTAATTTATTTATTTACTTGTTTGTTTATTTTTGATTTTTTGGTCAGTCATGGGTCTTGAACTCATGGCTTGGGAGCTGTCCCTGAGCTCTTTTTGCTCAAGGCTAGTGGTCTACTACCTTGAGCCACAGCATTGCCTTCTGTTTTCTGGTGGTTAATTGAAGATAAGAGTCTTATGGATTTTTCTGCCCAGGCTGCCTTTGAACTGCAATCCTCAGATCTAGCCTCAGAGCAGCTAGGATTACAAGCATGAGCCATCAGTGACCAGCAAAAGACCTGTTATTAGTTATTCTTTACTTATGAAAGGAAAAGTAACCCAAAAGACCACAAGGACAAAAGTCACATAGAGGAGAAAGATTTATTTCCAACAGAGCTGACAAGGCCAAGTTCTCAGGAGGGAGAGGAGAACATGGCACTGTCTGGCTCCTCAGAGGATCCTTTTATACTGTCAGGGCTGGAGGTATTTTACCTGAGGCTGGAGAGGGGCGGTGTCTCACCTGCCCACGGGCACTGCCATGGAGTGCACAGCCTAGGTCTGTGAGGGGACATTTGCTGGCTTACATCCCACCCCCATTTTGATTTTATATATACAGTACCAGGCAGGGAGTATGGGCAAAGGTCTTTTTCTGGAGCTACTTCCAGCTGAGAGGGGTAAGGTAGTTAATAGGAGGTGGGGTGGGTACATGAAGTTGACCAAGGTCCTGATGGTATGAAGATGTTCCTTGTCCAGAGTGGGGTCCTCTGGTTCCTCAATGACAGGAAGAAGACTGGGTTCAATCTTTCTTATTCATAGAGACAGGGGGTCCATTGGTTTGGAGGTGTATGAAGGTTGATCAGAGAGGTGGCATTTGATGTGGCAGAAATGAATCCAGTGTGGACAGCCCTGAACCTGTACCATTGTGGGAGTAGAGAGAATTACTGAATAGCACTTAGCAGAAAGCTTGGTGGAACCAGGCGTCTATGGCAGGTAATTTTTTGAAATGTACACTAGGTCCCCAGCATTGATGGAGGGCCTAGAGGACAATGTGAAGGGTTTAGGGCTATATTGGTCCACATATTTCCAGAGAAAACTGCACAGGTGCTGAGAGAAAGAAGACAGCATGGGTAAAGGAGAGTCTGAAGCCCGAAATAGGGGATACAAAGGTGGGTGGCCATACATAACTTCAAAAGGACTTAACATTAGAGGCTTTCTTGGCAAGACCCTTAAGCAGACAAGAGCGAAAGGTAAAAGCTTTAGCCAACCTAGATGCAGTTCAAGGGACAGTTTGGTCAGAGTTTGCTTAAGGGAGCAGTTGGCATATTCTACCTTCCTCAAAGACGGAGGGTGGTAAGGAATATGAAAAGAATAAGAGATATTCAGAGACTTAGTCAATAGCTGGGTCATGGAGGAGACAAATTCCAGGCCATTGTCTATCTGGATGGAAGCAGGCAGGCCAAAGCAGAGAATTATTTCCTGTAAGAGATGCTGAGACACAGAGGAGGCCCTCTTGTTGGTGGCAGGAAACGCCTCTATCCATCCTGTGAAGGTATCTACAAGCACCACCAGATACTTGTATTTGCGGACGGTAAGCATATGGGTAAAATCAATTTGCCAATCCACTCCTGGGAGGTTACCTTGAGCCTGGTGGGTTGGAAAGGGAGTTGGCTGCACATTGGTATTTGGGTTTGCCCATACTTCCCTGGTCTGTGACAGCTGTGTGAGAAATTGTGTGTCTTCTGGGGTTAGGAGAAGGCTCTGTTTTAGTAACTCCTTTAAGGCCCCTGCTGGGGTAGAAAAGATGGTGGAGGTATTTAAGGATATCTTGCCTAAAGAGATGGGCAGAATCCTCTGTTAGTGTTATGTTAATGTCTGTTGTTTTGAGGACATTGTAGCCCATTTGGCAGTTTCATCAGCCAGGTTGTTTCCTTTAGTTATAACTGAGTCATCTGACCGGTGGCCCCTGCAGTGAACTATGTCAATGGCTGAGGGGAGAAAAGAGGCTTTTAAGAGCTGTAATATATGAACTATTTATTACTGAACTATTTATTACAACCCCTTGGTTGTTAGCAAGCCTCATTCCTTCCAAACAGCTGCATGAGAAAGGACAGTATGGAAAGCATATTTAGAGTCTGTGTGTACCATCAGGGAATGCCTGAGGCCAGGTGGAAGGCCCATGTTAGGATTACAAACTCAGCCTGTCAATTGGTGGTCTGGAAAGACAGAGGGCCAAACTCCACAACACCAGAAATCAACACAACAGCATATCTAGCCACCTGTGAGCCTTCCCAGAGGAAGGAACTGCCATCAGTAAACCAGGTAAACTGGCCCTTCACTAATGTAGTCTGGGCGAGGTAGCAGGTTCTCCAGTTTCCACACAGGAGTGTGCTAGCAAGGTCTTTGTATCTAGAATGGGTAATAGGGTGGAGGGGTTTAGTGGAGGGCAGGGCTGGAAGGTCAGAATGAGGTCCTCTACCAGCAATACCTGAAGGGAGAGAATATGGGAGGAAGGCATAGTTTATAGGCCCTTACAGGTTAACAACTCAGAGAGGTGATGGTGGGAAAGGATGGTAAGGGCTGTGGCAAAGGTCAGCTTCTTTGCCTCCTGTATTAAGACAGAAGAGGTGGCTAGGACGTGGAGGCAGGGAGCCCAGCCCCTAATGGTAGGGTCCAAGCATTTCAACAAGTAAGCAACTGGCACAAATGAAGGTCCGATCTGTTGACCTAAAATGCCCAATGCAGAAACCTGGTTTTCAGTTATGTGCAGGAAAAATGGGCATGAAAGATCTGACAGACTGAGGGCTGGTCCTGCAATAAGGGCCATTGGAGCCTCCTAATGTGAGAAATGGGAGAGGAGGGGGATAAAAGGGGTGACCCTCTAGCTGCCTCATGTAAGGGACATGTTGGGAGGGAGTTGTTAGGGATCCAGGACCTGAGGTAGCTGGCTAGACCCAAAATAGAGAGAGGCTCAGAGTTCGTGGAGTGGGTGGGGTAGTGAGTAATCAGATGTTTTCTGGGGATAGTAATAGCCTTGTAGTGGGAGTGAATTGAACACTCAGATAAGTCATGGACTACTGAACCACCTGTA